GATTTCTGGTTCGTGGACTATAATACAGAGTCAATCTTTTCCTCGATTCGGGATTCAACCGGTGACTTGGGACACCATAAATCTCCCAAGTGGCGACTCTGAATTAAATAATAAATCCCGTTTCAATTGTCCTTTAATTGGAAAAACTCCCCTACGCCCCTGTGGCGCAGGTAAAAAGGAGGTGTGACAATGTCTATATCAAAAAACCAGTTCGGGTTCATGCCGGGTCGTTATACTACGGAAGCTATCCACTTTATCAGGAAATTGGTGGAACAATACAGGGATAGGAAGAGAGATTTGCATATGGTGTTTATTGACCTAGAGAAGGCATATGACAAGGTCCTTAGGGACGTCCTTTGGAGGTGTCTAGAGGTGAAATGTGTGCATGTGGCTTACATTAGGACGATAAAAGATATCTATGATGGAGCCATGACTCGGGTTAGGACTGTGGGAGGTGACGCAGAGCCTTTTCCGGTGGTTATGGGGTTACACCAAGTATTGGCGCTCAGTCCGTTCTTATTTGCCCTGGCGATGGACGCACTGACACACCATATTCAAGGCGAGGTGCTATGGTGTATGTTGTTCTCTGATGATATAGTTCTGATTGATGAGACGCGAGACAACATTAATGGAAGACTAGAGGTATGGAGGCAGGCCCTGAAGTCTAAAGGTTTCAAGTTGAGTGAGACTAAGACGGAATATGTGGAATGTAAGTTCAGCGACGTGGTGGGGGACACGGATGTGGAAGTCAGGCTTGACTCTTAGGTCATCCTCAAGAGAGAAAGTTTTAAGTACTTAGGGTCAATTATCCAAGGAGATGGGGAGATCGACGGGTATGTTACACACTGTATTGAGGTGGAGTGGATGAAATGGAGGTTAGCGTTTGGAGTCCTGTGTGACAAGAATGTGCTACCGAAACTCAAGGTAACTTCTATAGAGCGGTGGTTAGACCGGCCATGTTGTATGGGGCTGAGTGTTGGCCAGTCAAGAATTCACATATCCAGAAGATGAAAGTAGCAAAAATGAGGATGTTGAGATGGATGTGTGAGCACACTAGGTTGGATAAGATTAGGAATGAACATATCCGGGAGAGGGTGGGTGTGGATCCGGTGGACGACAAGATGCGGGAAGCGCAACTTAGTTGGTTCGGACACGTGCAAAGGAGAAATGTAGATGCACCGGTTAGGAGGTGTGAGCAGTTGGCTTTGGCAGGCACGAGAAGAGGTAGATGGCGACCTAAGAAGTATTGGAGCGAGGTGATCAGACAGAACATGGCGCGGCTCCAGATTTTCGAGGACATGGCTCTTGATAGGAAGGTGTGGAGGTCGAGCATTAGAGTTGTAGGTTAAGGGGTAGTCGAGCGGTTTTCCTCTTTGTCCATGTTTCCCTCTTTGTTCCGGCGACTATGATAGTGTTTTGTCTAGCACTGCTAGTGATTTATGTTATGTTTCACACTTTTGCATAATATTTGTATTATTGCTTTTCCATTTATTTGTGTTACTGCTTTTCCATAATATTTGTGTTACTGCTTTTTCATTTATTTGTTATCTCTCATGTTGCTACTATTATTTTGGGTTTTTGTTGTTACGAATCTAGTGTCTATGAGCCGAGGGTCTCCCGAAAACAGTCTCTCTACCCTTTCCAGGGTAGGGGTAAGGTCAGCATACACTTTAGCTTTTCCAGATCGGTGAATTCTACTGGGTTATTGTTGTTTGTTTTGTTTATTATTATTCCACGAAAATCTCTCTCCTCCATTTTCGCCTTCCAGAGGCGCCACCTGTTCTGACCCAACCAGGTACTTTTTTTTCATTTCTGTTTTTCTCGTTCTTATCGAATATCTTTACGATAATATACCCTAATTTGATGGGTATTTCTAGCATGATGTTTATATTTAGTAATATCAAACATGTATAATATATGTTCATGGACATGGACATGGTCATAAAGATCCCAAGTGTTTGATATATTCTTCTTGTCGGCTTTGTTGCTTCAGGCTTTGCATCTGTCGCAAAAACCAAAAATGAATAGTTGCGGCTATCAGCAAACCGCCTTGGTTGGTTCTGTTGGCGTTGTTTGCCCTAAGCCTCGCCGGCTCGGGTTCTTCAATTCATCCTATGTTCACGCCGACGAACCCATCAGAGGAACTGAACTTCTGGATATCATACTCACCAAGGTAACTTCTGGATGATTCCATTTCTCAATTCAAGTGGAAAATTTTGAAAAGAAAGATGTTTCTTTTGTTACTAATACTAGATTTATATATGCAAATGAGCTAGTTATTTTATGTGAACTGTTTTTAATTCAATTACTCCTGCTGGCAAATTATGATTTTTCTTCTATAAATAGGGGGGCTATGATGTGGAGACAACCAATTTTGAGCTAGCTTCATCTCCGCCATTCTTTTTCGGGTCTCCGCCTACCAGGGCTTCCAATCCCCTGATTCAGGATGCTCAATTCAGCAACAATAACAACATTTTTTTTCCTATACTAGCAATTCCAGAAGGAGCAGCTGCACCTTCACCACCATCCTCCTTTACCTCCACCTCTGCTCGTGTCTGCGTTCCCGTGAAGTATGGGAAAAAGCAAGCTGCTGTGAGGATTGAAGGCTTCAATTGCTGCAGCAGCATCTCCGCTGTTGCTTAGGTAAATCCTGTCGCATAGATGATGACAAAACAACCACAACAAAGTAAAAGACGTAAAAATGTGAGATTTTTGGGGAGAGGTGATAAACCAAACCAAATTCTTTTTGGCCTTGTATATATAGAGTGAAAGAAAATGAGTTATATTATCCAGTCATTCAAATCCTGTTTGTGAATATGTTTATTAGGTGACGAATGAGTGTTCATTTGATAGCGGAAAAATAAGTAGTAAACTGAGTAACCCAAAGAGGAAAGATAGGCCAAATGATTGTCCTTTTTCCTTTGGTATTAATTGGGTTTCTTTCTTAGAATTAGGCCAAGTTATGTGTTGAGTATGTAATGTAGTGTGAGAGTCTCAAAAGAGAGACTTATTCTTTGTGACTGAAAAAGTTTGTCACTCTATCCCGTCATTTGTAATTGTAATCAGAAGGAGAGGAGAAGATAGTCTTGTTAGACAAATTTTATTCACATTGTGTTTATTCTACTACTAGTGGTAATTTCTTTTTCAGTAGTGCTACTGATTTGCTTATACTTCTGCTGTATGGTAGCAAGGAAGCAAGTGCAATGAGCTCTTTTTTGTCAAGTTTTGATATCAACAATGTAAGTGTAGTATTGTTTTACATATAGCTTTATGAAAAGTCCATTTAATGGTGTTATTATTGCCAATACTATGTGATTCTGCTGAGGATTCTGAACTTATCTAATTGCTAACAATGACTTGAGTTGTGGCTTTCCCAGGTCAGGTCAGTGTTCTTCTTTATTTAGCTCAGATAACATTTATTTGTATAAATTTGATGTCTTCTGAATAAAAATGCTGTTTCTTTGAGGAATTAGTGTAAATTGAACCCATTTTCATGCAAATAAGATTAGAAAACAAAATTATGTAGTCTTTGAACAGGAATGGAAATGGATATCTCTTTATGTTCATTTTCAGCAGTTATGTAAACCGTAACGCCTCTTTCTTTTAGTAAGATAAATCAAAATATAACACTTAATACTGGGACTTTTGATAAGGGATCCTCCCAAAAAAAAAAACGCAAGTAGGTGCTAAGAGACCAACGGAGGGCTTGACTAAAGCGACGAATTTCAAATTCTTTCCATGAGAAGTAACCGAATAACCAGGAAGCTATATAGGTTTCTTCTTCGTTCTTTCCCTGATTGCATCATTAGATAAATTAGTTAATAGTTGTGGAGGAGAGATACTCGTTTAAATTAAACGCAGAATTTGTTTAAACAACTAAAGCTTGCTGAACAGGCAACCATTTAAATATAAATGATTTTACATCCTGTAACTTAATTCCTTGTACACCTCTGAGCTCTGTCAATAAATGCCTAAAAGCTTCTAGGGTTGATCAGGTAGTTTAACTTTTTCCCTACTCTACTCAGGGATAAAGGCATTACTAGGAAACGAAGGTAACTGTTCCATTTGGCTACGATGTTAAATCATCCAATTATTGGTCTCAATTACCTTTTTCAGTTAAATCATATTCTTACTTGTTGCAATTACCTTTTCTTTTTCAGTCGTTCTTTAGCCGAGGGTCTATCGGAAACAGCCTCTCTGTCCTTCCAGGGGTAGGGGTAGGGGTAAGGCTGCGTACATCTTACCCTCCCCAGACCCCACTTGTGGGAAACTACTGGGTTTGCTGTTGTAACTTAAAACTTCTCAAGGATTTTATATTTCATTATTCCCCTCTACTTTTTTGCCCCATCTATCGAGTTTTTTATTCTAGCTAATAGTTTTTTTGGGGTTAAAATTGTCCAAATATTGTTTGCTAGATTAGTTACTGATAATTAAGTGAATTGAGCTGTGTACTTGGTGTTCTCTGTAAGGTTTTACACTATGCAGCTTAAAGATCGGTTACTCAGATTTCCTAAGATAAAGCATCGTGCCAACATGACCCAATATCTTGGTTCTATTAGAGGCATTGTTTGGTATATTAGAGTTTCTAGGCCATCTAATGTGGATCCGGCTGTTATCAAGGGAGCCATGGGTGCTGAAATTGCGCAGTCACATTGTCGGCACTTTCATGTGCTACCTGCTGTTGATGAACTTGCAGGATTTCAGAATTTCAGGTCCAAAGTTTATAAAGCTGAATTATTATGGCATGCTGAGCCATTATTTACATATGATAAGATAAACTTCTACAATCTGGAGCTGAACAATACTAATGTAAGGTTCTTCTGTTTTCTCCTATTACTGTTGAATTGTTTAATTTTATGCATTTGATTACATGCATAGTGAATATATTGTTTTTGACTAACCAGGAGAACGACCCCCTTACTTTCTTGGTAACATTAGTTTCGTAATTATTGGCTCTTAATTTTTAAGCCTAGTTGCTTCCGCTGATAAAAAGAGTACGATTTTAGCCCGTAGGAAGCTTTAATGAGCCAAAACTTTTAGAAAAGAAAATCCTCCAGAATTTAAGGCTTCTGAAACTAGACCTGCTGTGAGGAAACTTACATAAGCAAAACTGATATTTGGAAAGGCCGGATTCTCGGCATCTTTTTTCTCCCATTTCTTTGGGCACCATTTCACATCTATTAATATGATCGACAACTAAATTTGTGTTTATTCATGTCATATTCTGATTCATAAGTAACATCTTCTGGCTATCATTAACATGTGGAAATGTTATAACTGTCTCATATTTATGTGTTAGTTGATAGAGGATGAAACTTTTTGTTTATATACTTTTGGGAAGTAAAACTCCCTCCCCCTTCCTCATCAAGGCCAAGTTCATTTTCTTGGGTTAAGAGCTTAGAAGTATTTTACTGATAGGTGATTGTGAGGCTTGACCTCTGTTAGCTCTGGTATTACATAAACTGTTGTCGAATCATCTTTGTTAAAACTTTAAACATTTAGTGAGGAGACAATTTTATTTATTTATTTTGTGGCTGCAGCAATATGTTTAGATATCTTATGCTGTGTTTTAACAGTCATAAAGAGCCAGTTAACACTAAATAAGCTGTGCAATCTGCAAACGGACACCATCCAGTTGAGGATTGATAACATTGCCAAGGTGGTGCTGGCCTATAAAACCGTATTTGGTTAATAGCTGTTTTTTAAGTCATAAGCAATGAATGAATCAATTCTTTTGTAGATGTTTTGATCTGTTGTACATCATGTGCAGATTAGTGATCACACAACATATGACTTCATTGAGAAGAATGGGGTGGTTTTTGTCCCACCTCATTTTTCCCGAGGGGATAGGGAGTTTTTCCAATTAAAGTGACATTATTCGAAATGAGATTATTTATTTAATTTCAGAGTCGCCACTTGGAATAATTTATGGTATCATAAGTCACCGGTTTATTTTAAAATCCCAAATCGAGGAAATTGAGTTTATTATGGTTCGCGAACATAGAAGACTGGGTAAGGAATTCTTTTAACCCGGAAGAAGGTGTGAGGCACTCCCGAGTTTCGTGATTTTAGCACGGTCGCACAACTATTAATAAGTGGCCTAATTATCTGATTTATTACATGTTTTAAATCTATTGTGCATTTTTAACTTTATAATCGCTTTTATTTATTTATGGAGTTTGTTTGAACTAGTTGCGATATTGCGCACTCATTTGTTTTTGTACACATTGTGAATCGCGTCACGGGAACCGTACCCACGATCTACAACATGTTTTTTTTATTTTTGTTTGAAGTTATGGTAGGGTCACGTGAAATGCACACCCGAGTTGGGAATTATGTATCATGACTATACCACGGGAACCATACCCATAGCTGTGATGATTTAATTACGCGTCTAAAGCAAACTACAAATGTTCATTAATTATTATGATTTGGAGTTATAGTCGAGTCATATGAAATGCGCACTCGAATTGGAATTATGTTCATAACTATGCCAGAGAAACGTACCCATAGTCACGATTTATTATTAATCGCGCCTAAAGCAACTAGCGATATATAGTTATTTATTCAACTGTTTGAGATCATGTATTGGGGGTCTATAACTAAGGAGTCAATGTTAGGATAAATTACAGATAAGGTAATGACGGGTGAATTCTGAGTCATGGAAGTTTGAATTAATACCAAAGTACATACCAACAGAATAAATTGATGGATAAAACTGGATCACAATCTAACTTTTGAAGAGGTTCGCATGCATAACCAGAAATGAATTAATCCGATGCTTTTAACAAAACCTTCAAATGGTCCAAATGAATGGAATGGGTTAAAGGCAAAGTCCAGTAACATGAGGCCTTAGGACTACTGAGGTCTACAACATACTCCAATAACTAATTTCATCAAGCACATAACACCAATTTGCAAACTATATGTTTAACAAATAAAAATCCTTTGACAGAGTATTAAAATGAATACATATATGCAGATTTCATAGCAATACAATATCCATCAGCAATCATTTAAACTGCAAACATAACTCGGACAACAGCAAAGCAATCCACAATTAGCCAAATAAATATAGAGATGGAGATGTACGGAGCTAAACGAAGCAGAAGCAGCAAGTTCAGCAACAAACAGTTTTTCAACAACTCGATTTAAACTTGAAAATCCCAGGGATTACATAGCAGATCAACTAAGAGAAGCAGCTGGTGAAACCATTAGCCCACCCCCCCTTTTCATCTATTTCAGAATTGCGGAGTTTTTCTCCGAACAACAGTGAGGACACAAAGAGTTGCCCGAATAAATTTTTTTTCCCGGCCAAATTCGAGACTCGTCACAAATGGGGGAAGAGACGAGGAGGAGGAGAAACGTTGAGGTGGAGTATGGGAGGGGGTAGCGGCTTAGAGATGGAGCTGCTAGGTTTGAAGGAATGAAGAAGGAGAGAGGAAGGTGTCTGCTCAGCTACGTTAGGGAATTAGGGGAGGGTATGATGATAGGGAATGAGAATAGAGAGACGGCTAGGGTTTATTCATGGGGAGGGGATCTGATGATTTTTTAGGGTTTTGGAAAATGGAGTTTTTAAAGAGGGGAGAAGATCCGGTTGGACCAATTAAGGAGATTGGTTAGGGCAATTTTGTGGACTTTGGGCCATTTTAAGCTTTTGGCCCAGTTATAAACAAGATCACATATTTCCTTAATTCCTTTTCCTTGTTTCTCTTCTTTTTTTTTTATAAATAAAAATCCTAATCAAATTAATTAAGCACTTAAATTAATTCCTAAATTAAATCTAACTTGGAATTAAACCTAATTACCTATTTTATCATTTAAATAATTGATTAACTTAAAACTAATGAAAGAAATTACTAATTTAAAACTAAAAGCTAAAAAATATAAAAATGACTTGTATTTTTTGTGATTATCGTTTGATAATGCATTTAATTAATGTAATTAAATCCTAAATGTAATTAAGATCTAAAATGCTATGAGACGAAGAATTAAATATTTTTATGATTTTCTATGGTTTTAAAATAACTCTAAATATGCATGAACAATGCAAATAAATGCAAACAAATTGGATAAAATAAAGAAAAATTCCTACAATTCTATTTAAGTAATAATTAAAAACTATTTTGGAATATTTTTAGGAGTAATTTGCATTAGGGCAAAAATTCGATACTCACACCTGCCCCTCTTTGCTCGGAAACATGAAGAGTTTTCGGGCAAAGATAAAGTGAGTAATTATGAGCAATTTTTGTCCGTTTGATACTCTATGGGAAATATTTTTTTGAAAAAGTTTGACCGAACTTTGCTTCGGAGGTTGCCTACATATTCTTGGCTATAAATGAATCAGGTCGGCGTTGTTCTGGAAGTTTTGGTAGTTGGGACTACCGAGAAGCTGTGATTTCACTGTTGTTGCTGTTGTCACTGCTTCCTGAGCTCCTTATTACACCAAAGTCAAAATGAAAAAGACTAACTAAGCCTATTAGTTGCGAGTTAAAAGATTCCTATCTAAGAGTCTTGTCTTGAATCTTGGCTGGTTTTTCACACAGACTCGGATCTGAACCTTGATGCTTGCTAGCTGTAGGTGCTAGTTCATTCTTCTTCAGCTCTTTCGGATCAAGATGGTATATGCAAAGCTTGTGACTTCAATCGCACTTTGAACTCACTTCTTTTCCTTTTCTTTTCTCTATTTTGGATTGAGACTTCTTTTGCTCATCTCGAACCCTGTGCCTCAAGGTATAACCTGCTCAGACGCCATAAGAAACAAACGAACGAAATTTGTCTGCCCTAGTAGGAAAATTTCGTAAGTTATTTGTAACAAAACTCTATACTATTTCATTATTGAAAGCAATAAAAGTCAGGATTTGTGTACCTCGAAAAAAATTGAGACTAGGGAATTGAGACCCTATGTCTAAATGAAAGCAACTAGGGAGTGAAGACCCTATGTTGGAAAAACGACTAGGGAATGGAGACCCTATATTTAGAACAAAATCAACTAGGGATTGGAAACCCTATATTGGAAAAGCGACTAGGGAGTGGAGATTCTATGTCTAAAATAAAAGCATCAACTAGGGAGTGGAGGCCCTATGTTGGAAAAGCGACTAGGAAGTGGAGACCCTGTGTCTAAAACAAAAGCATCAACTACGGAGTTGAGACCCTATGTTGGAAAAGCGACTAGGGAGTGGAGACCTTATGTCGAAAAATCATCAACTAGGGAGTGGAGGCCCTATGTTGGAAAGGCGACTAGGGAGTAAAAACCTTATGTCTAAAATAAAAGCATCAATTAGGGAGTGGAGACCCTATGTTGTTAAAGCGACTAGGGAGTGGAGACCCTATGTTATTAAAACGACTAGGGATTGGAGACCCTATATCCAAAATAAAAATAAACTAGGGAGTGGAGACCCTATATTGGAAAAACGACTAGGGAGTGGAGACCCTATGTCTAAAAATTATCAACTAGGGAGTGAAGACCCTATGTTAGAAAATCATCAACTAGGAAGTGGAAACACTATGTTGGAAAATCATCAACTAGGGAGTGGAGACCCTATATCTAAAATCAAAGCATCAACTAGGGAGTGGAGACCCTATGTTGGAAAAACGACTAGGGAATGGAGACCCTATGTCTAAAGCAAAAATTAACTAGGGAGTGGAGACCCTATGTTGGAAAAGCGACTAGGGAGTGGAGACCCTATGTCTAAAAATCATCAACTAGGGAGTTGAGACCCTATGTTGAAAAATCATCAACTATGGAGTGGAGACCCTATGTTGGAAAATCATTAACTAAGGAGTGAAGACCCTATATTGGAAAATTATCAACTAGGAAGTGGAGACCTTATGTTGAAAAAAAGACTAGGGAGTGGAGACCCTATGTTAGAAAATCGTCAACTAGGGAGTGAAGATCCTATGTTGGAAAAGAGACTAGGGAGTGGAGACTCAATGTCTAAAATATCATCAACTAGGGAGTGGAGACCCTATGTTGGAAAATCATCAACTAGGGAGTGGAGACCCTATGTGGAAAAGAGACTAGGGAGTGGAGACCCTATATCTAAAAACATCAATTAGGGAGTGGAGACCCTATGTAGGAAAATCATCAACTAGGGAGTGGAGACCCTATGTTGGAAAAAAGACAAGGGAGTGGAAACTCTATGTCTAAAAATAACGTCAACTAGGGAGTGGAGATCCTATGTTGGAAAATACAACTAGGGATTGGAGACTCTATACTACCATGATTTTGAATTTTCTTCTTTTTCTTTCTTTTTTGTTTTTCCCCCCATCATTTTCATCACCATTTTTTTCTTCTTTTTTTTTTAAAATTTATTTCAGAGAATGAGTAACTGCGGGAAAGAATTTTGGAGGAAACTTCTCTTTTGGAGTTGTTGCTGCAAAACCGTTTCTAGCCCTTGCGCAGTTTCTTTTTAGTTACACCTGCTTCTTGCAAGGTTGGCTTTGGATTGCATCTGTTTCCTACTTTTTCAAACAAAGAACAATTATCAGTTTGAAACGGAGGTTGGTTTTGTGTCCTTGATTATTTCAGTCACTTGACCTCGACCCCACTTCTTTGATGATACTTTCAACTGCATTTGGTTATTCCCTAAAGATTGATTTTATTTCTGGCCCCGCAGAACCTTTGGCTTTTTCAAAACTTTACCATGACAGCTGGTCACATGGGACTTAACCTTTTCAACTTTATTTTGCCTTCGTGGGCCTTTCACTTTCTTTCTTCCCATTTTCAACTCCAAAGCATTGGGAAATCCTTGGATTTTCAACCAGACTGTTAGTCGCATGGGACTCCACCTTTTCAACTTCATTTTCGCCCTTGTAGGCACTTCAATTTGATTTCCTTCTTTCTAGAGTTTTTCAATTTCAAAATATCAGCCACCATGGCCAGTCGAAGTCGACTTGATGTCCT